AACTATATCAACAACACGCTCGGTGAGGTGAGCATCTACAACACATCATCAATACCAAACCCTCACGCAGTAGTAGTAGTAGTAGTAGTAGTAGTAGTCGTCGTAGTAGTAGTAGCAGCAGCAGCAGTAGAGGTACGTTTCCTGCTTCAGTGAAACTCACAATGACGATGATCATACGCATGTAAACACTCGCACTGAGACGTAGAACCATCACCAGTACCACTAGCAGCAATGGTCGTCGTCGTCGTAGTAGTAGTAGTAGTAGCAGTAGCAAGTACTAGTACTAGTCGTACTTGTGGTTCTAGTAGTACTTGTGGTCCTAGTGGTAGCACGTAGTAGTAGTACTACTTGTACTACTCGTACTGCTAGTAATACAAGTACCATGGTAGCAGTAGTAGTGGTTGTTGTTGTTGTGCAGCAGGGAAGGGGGCCCTCCCTGTCGGCCCGGCGTCCGTTCGGAAGAACCCCTCGACTCCCAAGCCCTCGCGTTGGGATTCGTCGGATGTTTCCGCATGCAGATTGTGTACCGTGTGCTGATATTGGCTACTCATCTTAGATTGGCAACTGCAAGGAAGCAACTTGAGATGGCAAGGGAGTATGGCCTGCCGCTAATCTTGTCCCTCGGCGGCTTCTTGAAGACTTCCGAGGTTCGCTGTATTGGTTTCCGCCTTGTCACACATGCCCGGCTGTGCAACGTCAGCTGGCTTCGCTCAGGCAGCTGCCTGCACAAGATGATGCAGAAAGGCAGTGAGGAGGGAAGATGTTTGCCAACCGAAGCATGCATTTGTGCAGGTGCATGGCTGAGCTTTTGGTGACGGTCTTCGGCGAGGCCTCGCAGCATCCGATTCTGTTCCTGGGCGCAGTGGAAGGCACACTGTAATGGTGCGATAGTTTCCATTCCATGTCCGTCACGGGAAAAGCTTCTTTTCAGTGAGCACAAGTGCAGTCCATGGTGGCCATAGCTTCCTCCGCATATTCCCTCTAGGAAACTCCAAAATATTCAGGCCTGTTCATCTGCACCGGGTGTAATTTAACAACGAGTGTGCCTCAGCTGACAGGGTCTTCTTCTTGCCTCTCAGGCTCTCCGGTTTCAACGGACGGCCGAAGTGTGCGGCCGCTTTCCTACGCTCCTTTCCAGGCCGTCGGTTTGCTATTTGTCGTTCGGCTAGGCCACAGTCCCTGACAAGAATAAGTTTTGTTTGCGAGCACCGAACATCACACAAATTAAAAGGGCATGCTAGGTGGCAGCTATCCTAGCTCTTGCAGGCTGGAATGAGTATCAGATGCTCGAACTTCATGGGCTGCACGCCGGAACCCTGAAAGGTGATTGGACACACATCGCACATTGCAAAGCCTGATGCGTACTAGAGCCTAGACCCTGCACGTCAAACAGCAGTGGCATGGCCAGCAAATCCTGAGCCCAAGACGAAGCGATGTTTACATTTCTTGCATTTGAGCCGGTTCGCTTTCCTGTTTCCTTTGCTTGCCTTGCAGTGCGAAAGCTAAAGGCTGTGGTGTAAAGGTCTCAGTTGACATGTTTTTAGTGGAACTATAGGAGTTCAACAAATTCTCTCGGAATTCACAGCGGATCACTGGAAGGTGACTTTCTGCAAACCCTTACATCTCTCACTCGGGATGTTCCGGCTTCGCATACGCACGACCGGGCAGTCGCAAAATGCATGTAAAACGCATGCAGCATGCATTGAAGAACTTGCTGTCCAGGAATGATGGTGGGCTTCAACGGCCTTCTGACACACAGTGTCCCGGCCATGTTGTTAGTTTGAGGGACTTGAGGGTGAGAACGTAGCCAGGCGAGCTTTGCGTCGCATGCCTTGAAGCTGTCAGTCTAAAGGCTACAGCAGTACAACGCGTTCCATCCCCAGACTTCTCTGCGAGGCAAGCACAAGCAATCTTTGGGAGAGGTGGCGTTTGATGTCCCGCTCGATCGCTTCGTTTTGGACACCAGGCTAGAAGTCCGGAAGCTTTCATATAGTCCAGTAAGGCGAAACAGCGATGGCTTCCTAATCCCTGTTCGTTTTCGCAAGGAAAGCTTGGGACCGCAATATCCACCGGCAGACTCCGCGGGCGGGAGCTCGCGTGGCAGCTACTCACACCCAGCCCATGTGCTCGTGGTAGCCGAGGAGTGCGGAAGTAGCTTGGGAGAGCGGGTTTGAGGCTTGAGGCCACTGCAGACCGCACGTAGCCGATCCCAGGAGCTTGCTCGAGTCAAGCAACGGCTGCCCCGCGACATCCTCCGAGCGGCTTTCTCAAACACCTCCAAACTCTTCAATTTGTCCATTTGAAGATGGGGCTGGAGAGAACGTTCATTCTTCCAACAAGTGCGACAGCTCGTTCCGCCTGGCGCTTCCCGTCAAACCTCATCAACGCAGACGAATCATGGACATGCAGGGCGCCTCTCGAGTGGCTGGAATGCAGATGGAGATCGCTGAAGGGCAAGACTGTATGGGCCCGGCGAGTGCTCGAACAGTGCTTGTGAGTGTGCAGCGCAGCTACCAGGCAAGTGAGCCACAGCACAATGCAGAAAACCATGCCCTTAGCTAGTTCGTTTAATCAGAGACACACGCGAACTGTTACAGACTCGTGGCTGAACGAAGGACAAAAGAATTCTAGATACTCTAGTTCTCTAGTTAGACGTACACCGAAAGCAAACAACAAAATGGGAGAGAGGCATGCTATTGGTGCTTTACCCAAGCTGTCATGCGAAAGTCCCGCAGCTTCCGATGATTTGCTGGAAATCATAAACTGCACGGCAAACATTGATAAACATAATAGTTGTTTCGTCTCCCAAAGAATCAATCGAAGCCGTGATGTTGTCGAGCTCAATGTTTGCCGCGACAACTGGAAAGGCGAGTTTCTACAGCTTCCGCTTATGTTTGGAAGCTCACTAAAGGAGATCTCCAAGACCTCGCAGAAAGCAAGAACGACGTTGTTGGTTGCTCCCTTCTTCCGGATTCCGTACTACTTCTGTTGATTATAACCCTGTATCGCAAGTCCCAATGTATTTGCTCGCCTTGTCATGCCTCAGGTTTTCGTACCTTTGTGTTGTTGACCGGATGGTCTTAAGAGGTCGTTAGATGTTAGTAGCACCTGCTTTCCTGGACGGAAGGGTGTTGGGTGGAGCTTGGCTCTTAAATCGCGATAAAGGTTTTCAAGTCGTATAATCTAGTGTGGATTACTACAGTCTGCGCAGCATTGGTGTACATGGTCGAGGACCGCTGTCATGCATCCCAGTGGCACATTAGCATGATTTTAGTGCTTTTTGCGACTTCCGGGTCTCCACATTTCTTGGAGATGGTAAGCCGGAGACTGCTTGAGACCGCTTGCGAAGTGCGGTCGGCAGGCGCTGGTGAGACACCTGTGACAAGGAATTGGCCAGTATGGTCGAGGTTCTCGCGCACAGTTCTACTACTACTACTACTACTACTACTACTACTGCTACTACTACTACTACTACTACTACTGCTACTACTACTACTACTACTACAACTACTATTACCACTAGTACTACTAGTACTTCCACTACTACCACTACTACCGCTACTACTACTACTACTACTACTACTACTACTACTACTACTACTGCTACTGCTACTGCTACTGCCACTGCTACTGCTAGTACTACTACTACTACTACTACTACTACTACTACTTCTACGACTACTACTGATTACTACTACTCCACTACTACTACTACTACTACTACTACTACTACTACTACTACTACTACTACTACTATTGCTACTGCTAGTGCTGCTGCTTCTACTACTGCTACTACTACTGCTGCTACTGCTGCTGC